AACCCTAAGCCCTAATCCCTAAACCCTGAACCCTGAACCCTAAACCCTGAACCCTGAACCCTAAACCCTAAACCGTGAACCCTAAACTTTGAACCCTAAACCCTGAAGAAAAGCAGGGCTTGGAGTTAGGGTTTCCCGAAGAGGAGCAGAAGAGACGTTACCTTGGCGCAAACCCTGAAAATACAAGTTTGTAGGGTTTAGGGTTCAGGGTTTAGGGTTTTGGGCTCAGGGTTTAGAGTTTAGGGTTTATACCTTTCCAGAAGAAGTAGCTATGATAGGAGCCCAGAACCCGAGAAAAAAGTATTGAAGTATAGCCCTCCCAAAACCCAGGATGAGTCGATGCCTTGGTGGTCCATCTTCTTGCCCGGACGGATGCTCACAACGGCCGTTCCCATCACATCCTGCGGAGTTCGCGGCGTGGGCTCCCTGTATGGGCTCAAATTACACACATATATATATATATATATACGTATAGGTATATTTGTATATGTATATGTACAGTATATGTATACCCTTATACTAACAGTCCTTAAAAAGGGATTATTACGGACTGGGGGAACATCCCAAGCTTCGGAAGGGTGGGGGGGGAGGGAAGGGTGGGGGGGCCAGAAATGGGTGTTCCAACGTCTCCTACGGTTTAGGGTGCAGGCTTTCGGGTTTAGGGTTTAGGCTTCGGGGTTTAGGGTTTAAGGTTAGGGGTTTAGGCTTTGGGGTTTAGGGTTTAGGGTGCAGGCTTTGGGGTGTAGTAGAGTAGACATTTGGGGGACGGTTTACTGGCCTCGCCATCGGTGAAGATGTACGCGCGTTCGCCCTTCTTGTCGCGACCTTAAGGCTCCCTGGTTTAGGGTTTAGGGTTTAGGGTTTGGGTTTAGGGTTTGCCCCACAGCTCCAAGTTCTTCGTAACTTTATAAAAGAGATGCGGCAAAGGCTCACCAATCACAAAACAGGAAGTGCCAGGCCCCAATCCCCAAGACAAGTCTCCAGCTACTTTCCTCAATCCCAAGGTGCCCCCTAAACCCTAAACCCTAAACCCTAAACCTAAACCCTAAACCCTAAACCCTAAACCCTAAACCCTAAACCCTAAACCCTAAACCCTAAACCCTAAACCCTAAACCCTAAACCCTAAACCCTAAACCCTAAACCCTAAACCTAACTACCCTAAACCCTAAACCCTAAACCCTAAACTTAAACCCCAAACCCTAAACCCTAGTGCAGTCAGGTTGCCCAACGGTGCGCTTTTCCGGTTCGCCTCCATTGGAGTTTGGGGTCTAGGGTCTCGGCAGTCTAGGGTTTGGGGGTTCGAGTTTAAGGGATTTGGGGTTTAGGGCTAGGGGTTTGGATTTAGGGTTTAGAGCCAGGGGTTTGGGGTTTAGGGCTAGGAAACCCTAAACCCTAAACCCTAAACCCTAAACCCTAAACCCTTGGGGGCTTGGGGCCTAGGGGCCCCCTCCTTTTCTCGTCAGAGGCCAGAGGGACTTTGCAAGTCTAGGATCTTTAGCCTCGTGTTGGTGCCTCCCCTGCTGGTGGCCTTACAGTTTAATGGGTTATACCTACTAACTAAGGGGTTTAGGGTTTAGGGTTTAGGGTTTAGGGTGTAGGGTTTAGGGCTTAGGGTTTAGGGCTTAGGGTTTAGTAAGGTAGAGTCCCAGGTAGGGTTCTAAAGGGCCAGGGTGGGGAGTTTAGGGTTTATGGCTTGGGTGGCGTGGGTTCTGGCGCTCAGTCCGACCCCTGAACAGTCGCATGTCTTCCTGCCAGTTGCTTAAGAAGCCCCCCCCCCCCAAAAAAAAAAACAAAAAAAATAAATAATGTTCTTCCTTATATGAGGAATATAGGGATTCTAAGAACCCCCCCCCAAAAAAAAAACTAAATAAGATTCTTCCTTATAAGGGGAATATAGGGATTCTTACTTTTTGTGCTTTTGAGGTCTTAAAAAAAGATAGTAGCTTCTTGTGGTGATGTTTATGGGCTCCGAGTATGACCCATACGCTGAACGCCACAGGAGTTCTGCATTCCGACATGGGAGAATGCCCTTTGTGGACCCTATACCCTAAACCCTACACCCTAAACCCTGAACCCTAAACCCTACATCCTAAATCCTAAAGCCTGAACCGAGTGCTGATGCACTTTCGCGCCTCCGTGTCGAAGGTGATGTCCACCGAGCAGACGGAGCCAAAAAGGCTCCCCAGCATGGAGGACCTCAGGGTTTAGGTTATAGGGTTATAGGGTTATAGGGTTATAGGGTTATAGGGTTATAGGGTTATAGGGTTATAGGGTTATAGGGTTATAGGGTTTAGGGTTAAGGGTTTAGGGTTTAGGGTTTAGGTTTGAGGATTTAGGGTGCTGCCTATTTTCTCCAAGTCCGTTTAGTGCCCTATAGGTTCCTGAAGCCGTATGAAGAGGCCCCTCAACGCATGAACCCTAGACCCCCTGCCCTGAAAGATCTTACGCCCAGCACCATGATGGCTACCCCCTCGACCTTCAGCCCTAAACCCTCAACCCCCAACCTTCAGACCCTAAACCCCTAGCCCCTCAGCCTCTAGACCCTAAACCCCTAAACTCCTCAAGCTGTAGGCCCTAAACCCTAAACCTTTCAGCCTTGAGACCCTAAACCCCAACCCCTCAGCCTTGAGACCCCAAACCCCTAAACTCCTCAAGCTTTAGGCCCTAAACCCCTAAACCCCTCAATCTGTAGACCCTATGCCCCTTAACCCCTCAACCTCTAGACCCTAAGACCCTAAGCCCCTAAACCCCTCAACCCTTAGACCTTTTAAACCCCTCAACCTCCAGACTCCAAACCTTTACACCCTCAGCCCTAAACCCTTAAACCCTTAAACCTTCAGACCCAAAGCCCCAGATCTCCGCAAGTTGAGATCCGAGAATTCCACTCGTATCTTGCGCGAAAAACACAAGATGCCTGCTTTTGGGATGTTCCCCGATATACCTAACAGTCCTTAATAGGGGTTATAGTCGGGGGTACTATAACCCCGATTAAGGACTGTTAGGACTTAGGATAAGGGGGAACATCCCAATGCCTGCTCAGGGAGATACTCCTGCATACAGGATATGGAGGCTTCCGAAATTAGGGGTACCTTATTTTGGGGGTCCCGGTTACAAGGGGATCCGACTATTGCAGGGATCTATATTGGGGATCCCCTCTTCTCGTAAGCCCCCATGACCCCATGTAGATATGCAGGAAGTATGTATTACAGGGACACCATATTCCTTGATTCAGGCATCTCTAGATATTAACCTCTATCTCCAAACCCTAAACCCTAAACCCTAAACCCTAAACCCTAAACCCTAAACCCTAAACCCTAAACCCTAAACCCTAAACCCTAAACCCTAAACCCTAAACCCCCTAAACCCTAAACCCTAAACCCTAAACCCTAAACCCCCTAAACCCGAAGTCTGGGCCTTCATTTCCTGGGATGGCTATACCCGGTTTTGACAGGTCCAGTCCGACTCTGCATAACCCATCTAGGCCTTAGACACTCAAATACGTCTTGTATTGCTCAGGAGCGGGCCCCAACTCACATACCCTAAGCCCTAAAAGCCTCTTCCTGATGAGGCGAAGCTGAGGCCGGAGCATTGCCGTCACTGCGGCCGACCCGGGCAGAAAAAGAAACTACTAAATTAGATTTTGCAAAGAGCTGCGGGGAGTGCGCGTTTAGGAGGGTCTAGGGTGAATGAGGCGGATGTATAGGGCCGGGTTGTTTCAAGGTTTAGGTTTTGGTGAGTGAAGACTCCAGGGGTTAGGCTCGACTTTATGGACGAACACCTTAGGGTTTAGGTTGAGGGTTTAAGCTTAGGGTTTAGGTTTAGGGTTTAGGGCTTAGGATCTAATTTGGTTAACATCTTGCAGCAAAACACGGCTTGCCACCACAATTCTGGCAAATCTAATGCAGAGTCAGGATGCCATCCATGGCAGACTGGAGACACTCGTCTTGATTTGCTTTGGTAACCTTCGGTGCGTACTATGTGTTGATTATCCCCCCCCCCCACCCCCCCCCATAGAATAATAGGGACTATCCGATTTCCTTGGCGCTCAAGAAAGCAGAGGGAGACGATAGCTTAGATGACCCTGCGCACTTTCTTTGCTTCGTAGGGAGACCTTCGGGTAGGTGCCCTAAACGCTAAACCTGAACCCTTTCCCGATCTTGCATCCTACCGCCGGCACCACGCTATCTTAAGAACCCCAAATACCCTGGGCATTTCCGAAGTTTTTGGCTTAGAGTAAGTAATTCATACGGAAATGCTCCCCCTTCAGGACCCCTTGCTACACGACAGCCGTTCTGACAAGCTCCTTGGCAGGGCCCTTTTATGGTTTAGGGTTTAGGGCTTAGGGTTTCCCCCTCATATGTACAGCTCTCAAAGTTCTGGTCTTTTTTTTTTTTTTTTTTTTTTTTTTTTTTTTTTTTTTTTTGTTTTTTTTTTTTTTTTTTTTTTTTTTTTTTTTTTTTTTGTTTTTTTGTTATAATGAGCCTACTTATAAGTAACCTAGGAATCAGCAGGGTGCCCTTTGTTTGCGAGGGTCTCATAAGTCAACCTAAACCCTAAACAAAAGGGAAGAAGGGCCTACCCTGGGGTTCTAGTATCTATGGTGCGCAAAGACCTTGGATGAGCTGATTCCGAAGGTTAAAGTCTTCGGGTATTATGTGGCCTTTTTTGCTTTAGGGTTCAGGGTTTAAGGTTTGCAGGGTCCGCATGTGACTCAGCAAGTATTTCCGTCAATTGAGGCGTAAAGGTTCAGGCCACATACCCTAACATGGGTTGTCTAGTTTCTTAGGATTTATGGCTTAGGCTTGCGTAGGGTCTAGGGTCTAGGGTCTAGGGTTTATAGGGTCTATTGGGTCTATAGGTTCTGTAGGGTCTAGGGTTTAGGATTGAGGGTTTGGGGTGTGGGTTGCTTTAGGGTGTAGGGTGTAGGGTGTAGGGTTTAGGTTTTAGGGCTTAGGGTTTAGGATCAGACCGTCTGCATTCTCAAGCTCGACGCACGGGACCTGCCCGTTGAGCTCCGGGAAGTCACGCAGGCCTTCCAGAGCTACCTGGCTCAGGGGTTTGAGGGTGTTAGGGTTTTAGGGTTTTGGGGTCATTGGGTTTTAGGGTTTTAGGGTCATAGGGGGTCTAGGGTTTGAGGGTTTTGGGGGTTAGGGTTCTAGGCTTTATAGGGTTATAGGTTTTGGGGTTTAGGTTTAACGGTTTAGGGTTTAGGGTTTGAAGTTTGGCGCCTTTGCCTTTCTTGGGTACACGTGGGTATTTCCCAAATAGGGGTAACCCTCTTGGACCTAAAATGGAATAGAATCCTCTTAAAGGGACCCCAAGGCGGGTACCCCTGATGTCGGAAACACCCACAATATCGTGAGGGCCGACGTGCCCTTGCATCCGAAGCTCAGAATCCAACCTTGAAGAAAACCCGAGACTTCCCTAAACCCTAAACCCTAAACCCAAAACCCTAAACCCTAAACCCGAAACCCTAAACCCAGAGCCCGCGCCCTAAGCCCTAAACCTAAACCCCAAAATTTGGGATGCTCCCTCTTACACTAACAGTCCTGAATAGGGATTCTCGTACCCCCTTTTCTAATCCCTATGAAGGACTGTTAGTATATTGCGGAACATCCCAACCCCAAACCCCAAACCCCAAACCCCAAACCCCAAACCCCAAACCCCAAACCCCGGACTGCCCCACCGTTTCTGAATTCCAGGAGTCCCAATAGAACCTTAACCCTAAACCCTAAACCCTAAACCCCCTAAACTCGACACGGTAGCTCCTGCTTTGGCATTAGTATGGTTGGCATCTTTCGATCAAGGAAAATGAGGGACTCAGATACATATCATAGTCGTGCAAAATCCGATCGGCTACTCGTATGACGGTTAAGTTAAGAACATGATAGTACAAAAAATGTGAAGAATATGCAACTATGCAAAAAATGAATCATAAGATTAGCGGAAGATAGCAACAACTAACGCCTTCTCGAGGTAGACTGTTACTAGCCTAGCAGTTTAGGAAAGCTGCACAAACAAGAGGTCCAAGGAGGGGTCCCCTTACTATACTAAGTATTGTTAAGGGACTTCTAACCTAAGTTAGGATCCTTATAACCCAATTTAGGGTCCTCATAACTCTACTTATAACTAGGGGGCCACTCCTTGTAATGATGTACACTCGGAACTATTCAGCACCAGAAGTACGGAGAGTGCAGCCCTGAACGCGGAGTTTCCGCAGCCCACAAGGTTGTGTTTCTAGGACCCGGAGAAACCGAGAAATTCAAGGTACACTCTTTTGTTCAAAGCGGGTTTACAAGGGAACCGATCCCACGGAAAACATGGGAATGAGGCAAAACTCTGCGCCCTTTGTTTGTGCTGCGATGGTGGGAGCATGGTCGGGTCAGTGCGCGCCGGCATGAAAGCCAAGTGCTCACTACTGTATAGGGCGGCAGTGACCCTTGCAGAAACAGGTGCGCGTGGCCAATGTGCTGTGTGTGGGGGTCACTGCAAGTCGCAAGTGCCCCAGATGGGATGTTGGTTGGGGGGGGATTAGGGGTTTTGGGTGGGGTTGTGGAGGGGATTCAAAACAAGGCTTCCTGCTAGAAGCGCACTTCCTGCGGCCTAGCTAAAACCTAGCTAGAAGCACCAGAACTCCTCAATGAACTAGCCCTGCTTAATCTCAAAAATGATCACTTGACTTGGGTCGTCCCCCAAAACTCGCTAGAGAGTCCAGGCATGTATAGGGTCCGAGATTCAGCACATTTGCACGCGCAAAGGAGTCATGCCCGTCGGTTCTCACTGAGAGAAACCGAAGGGTTTAGGGTTGGGATGTTCCCCCTTAAACTAACAGTTCTTAATAGGGATTCTTATAGGGGGTACTATAAGGCGGAACATCCCAAGGTATGGGTAACAAAATAGTGGCTACGTTCCTTGAGCTTGGTGCCCTCCATTCACGAAGAGAGCGGTGAAGGCATCTAAGGCCTTTGTGTTAGAAAACCTTAATCCTATAAACCCAAAACCCTAAACCCGAAATCCTGCAACCTAAACGCGAAACCCTAAACCCTGAATCCTATAATGTGAACATAAACAAACATGCTTAAAGGTTCATGGGTAGTTATAAGTTATCAGTAGGGTTGTAAGTTGGGATGGTTGCGCTTATACTATCAGTCCTGAATAGGGATTATACTAGGGGTTACTGTAATGCCGATTAAGGACTGGTAGTATAAGGGGGAACATCCCAAGGTTTAAGTAGCCTAAACAAGGTTATAACCCTAACCCTAAACCCTGAACCCTGAACCCTAAACCCTAAACCCTGCCCCCTAAACCCGAAACCATTCTCATTGGTGCTTTCTCTAAAGTATGGTCCCGGTTGGGCTCCGTATGATAAAGCCGAATTTAGAGAACTGACCAATTACAGCTGCCTTGTAGCTACCATGAATCTTCAAAAACTCAAAGTGAAGCCCTCAAGAACGCGTAAAAACCCCAATCTCTCAACCCAACATAGGGTTCGGGGTTTAGGGTTTATAGGGTTTAGGGATCAAGGTTTACAGTAGGGCTCAGGGTTAGGATCTTACTGGAAGTCCACGCTCGGTGCTTCGTCTGCGGCACCACGCTCAAGTTAAAGATTTCAAAAGGAAACGGATAGGAATTGGCTTCACTGCCAGCGGTATTGATGCTTCGGTACCAACCTCGAGTACCCTACATGATAGGGCCTATTTGGATCGGTATCCAAACACTTGGGGTTTATAGGGTGTAGGTTTTAGGGTTAAGCCCTAAACCCTAGACCCTAAAACCTTAAACCCTAAACCCTAAAACCTTAAACCCTATGCCCTGGTCCAGAAAACTGGCCATGTGAGATCCTGAGCCCATGTCCGGATGTTGTGTTAACACCTCAGGCAAAGCCCCACTACGAGGTCGACGAGCCAGATGCAGGTAGCCCCCTGCCACGGAGTAGCTTCGGTTTAGGGTTTAGGGTTTAGGGTTTTGGGTTTAGGGTTTAGGGTGACCCAGGAGTAACCCAACAAGCGTATCCTTTTGCGCTCTCAGGGGATTACAAGGGAACCCAACCCTAAAAAGAAGGACACAAGGCCTTCAAGGGCTTACGCCGGGTTTTACGGTGGATGATAGAAATCCTGCATGACCCCAACCACCCACACACCAACTTGCGTACAGAAATCCCCTGCGCCCCTTAATTTCAATGTTGCTTGGGTGCCTGGGGTCATACAGGATTTGCATGACTCGCGCGGCTGGGTTTCTGGGGAGTGGACTCTGCATCAATGTTAAAATTAGGGGCGGCCAGGGGATTGGGTTGTGGAAAAACTGATGCAGGATTTTTAGCATCAACAGTAGCTGAATCCCTAAACCCTAAACCCTAAACCCTAAACCCTAACCCTAAACCCTAAACCCCTAAAGCTGCAAAAGCCATTTCGTTTCAGGATTTGTCCGGAACGATGTAGGCCACATGTCTGCCCCAGAACTCAGGAAGCCCAATAAGCTTTTTGATCAGATTGTAATTGGGATAACCCACCTTCCGGCACTTGGAGCCCTGTTTTAGGGTTTAGGGTTTAGGGTTTAGGGTTTAGGGTTCCATCCTCCATGTTCTCAGCTTTTCCAGCAGTGGTCAGTCGTGCAAAGGGACGATTTCATGCCGCGGGAGGGTACAGACTGAAAACGTTACCAAGTGCACGAGACCCTAAACCCTAAACCCTAAACCCTAAACCCTAAACCCTAAACCCTAAACCCTAAACCCTAAACCCTAAAGCCCTAAACCGTGACTGATGAGCGAGGAGAGCGCAACCCGACACTTTCTTACAGTTCAATCCTCAACCAGGAAGGCCAGAAGCGACGTGATATGAACCTTTGCCGAAGCTGGGGGTTTAGGGTTTAGGGTTTAGGGTTTAGGGTTTAGGGTTTAGGGTTTAGGGTTTAGGGTTTAGGGTTTAGGGTGTAGGGATCCGGCACAGTAAGCTCCCTAGTCTAGATGGCACTGATGACACCTCCCAATCACGCGAATCTGATCAACAGGACCCTAAACTCGAGACCCCCCCGACCTGCAACCCTAACAGCCCCAAAGCCTGAACCCTAGAACCCACCGGGAACATAGACTCTATAAACCCAAAGACCTTACGCCTTCAACCTAGCCTCTAAACCCTAAGCCCTAACCCCTGTACCCTAAACCCCCCCAAACCCCCCTCAAACCCTAAACCCTAGACCCTAAACCCTAAACCCTAAACCCTAAACCCCTAAACCCCTAAACCCCTAAACCCCTAAACCCCTAAACCCCTAAACCCCTAAACCCCTAAACCCCTAACCCTAAACCCTAAACCCTAAACCCTAAACCCCCCTTAAACCCAAAAGCCCTCAAACGACGGCCTTGGCCTTACGGTCGGCTCCACGCTCGCCGCCTCCTGGTCTTTTGTCGGGCTTTTGTTTGGGGGGTTTAGGGTTTAGGGTTTAGGGTTTAGGGTTTAGGGTTCAGGGTTCAGGGTTCAGGGTTCAGGGTTTGAAGGATGTAGGCTGTAGGTTAGAACCACAACCTATGTTCAACCATTCCACTACAATTCCCTTGGGTTTGACATGACAGAAAACAGGAATCCTAAGGAAGACTGCAGTAGGGCTTAGGGTCCCTAAACATGTCTCCTGAAAGAGAAGAACCCTAAACCCTAAGACCCTAATCCCGACACCCTGAACCCAAACCTGGTAAGGGCCAAAAAGCCTGCTCAGGGTTTAGGGTTTAGGGTTTAGGGTTTAGGGTTTAGGGTTTAGGGTTTAGGGTTTAGGGTTTAGGGTTTAGGGTTTTTGGGCCTCCAATCTGCCGATGCGGCGCTTCGCAGCCATGGCCTCACGGCGAGGGATCGTTGCTTCAGACTCTTGGGTTTAGGGTTTAGGGTTTCGGGGTTAGGGTTTAGGGTTTAGGGTTTAGGGTTTAGGGTTTAGGGTTTAGGGTTTAGGGCTTCACTCTTTTCGGAAGACGCGAGCCCCAACTCAACTCCATGTGGTCGACCCCAATGGGGTACCCCTAACTTCGGAAACCCCCATATGTCAGATGAGATGAGTACACCCA